TGAGTAAGACCAGGAGAAATAAAGTTATATTTGGCCAAGGTTGTCGAGAGTCAGAAACTGGCAAGGTGGGAGAACCCACTGATCCTTATTTCAAGGCCAGGGCTCCTCTGCTCCATAAGCAGACAGGAGTCTGAGAATGTCAAGAGCCACGTGTCTCTAGAGCCAACATTAGACTAAGACTTGTCACCAGGAGATGAATGCTTAATCTCAAATAAATACGCTCTGATCACTCACTTATGAAAAGCATTGCATTTCATGCAAAACTACAATGAAAATTGTGTGCAAGACCATGTGTACCTATACAGTGGTTAGAGATATAAAGCCTAATGCTCTCCTTACAGCACTGAGGTTTGTATGTGTGGTGAGGCAGGCTTTCACACGGGTTCTAGAGTAGTGCCTTGGACAGCTAACTAAACTGGAAAGATATATATTGTAAAATGTTTATTATTTTTAATAAAGGAAAGATAGTAGACAAAGGTGGAAATTAGATGGACCATATGTCCATCCATCCATTCAGAGGGTCTGCAAGGATGAGCCACTCCCACATACCAGGCGCTGTTATGGAAAGGGTGGGTAGTGTGCATGGTAGACAAAAGTCCCAGGTCCGTGAGGCTGGCATGCTCATGGGAAGGTAGTATCTACCGAATCAATATTTGTATATCAGTTATGGGTGCTCTGGTCTGCATTTCAAAGAAACCCGTCTACGGTACGTTAGTTAGAAAGAGATTTGTGTTTCCCAGTCAGCAGGAGGTCTAGGGTGGTTTGTCAGGAGCCCTGGGGAGCTGTCAATGTCACCCAAGTACACAGGCTTCTCTGACCCTGTGTGGTCAGCCATGCAGTTTCCACCTCCATGTAGGTTTCAACCTCTCAGCCGTCTTTAGCTCCTCTGGAGGGCGAATCTATGCACCGGGCTGGAAGAAGGGGTGAGATCAAGGGGAAATAGGCAGGTGTCATCTGAGTCTACTGGATTAGTATCCAGAAGTTAAAAAAAAAAAAAATGACTTTCTACTTTTTTTCTGGCGATTCCATATTCTGTATTAAGGTGCGACAGAAAATTCACCCCAAGTTCTAATGCCTGGACTTTCAAAGACTGGCTCATTAGCATCTATGTGGCTTAGGAGAATCATTTCAGTCACGTAGTACAAAGGTTCAGGACAGAAGTCTGTATGCGTGTCATTCACAACTTACGAACCAGCACGATGTAAGCACTTGCTTGGGCTTACATGAAATAGCTGAGAGGCGAGGTCGCAGTGTCTGGAAGAACAGAAATCAGATCACCTGAGTGGCTTCTCTTGGGGTTTTCTGGCTATGCAAAAGATTTTCTTCTAGATTAGTCACTTTTACTGCTTCCTAATTAGATGGTGGCGGGTTTAGTTCCTCTGTCCTCTGAGAAGTTTCTAGAACTCCTTCTGAAGGTGTTCAGTTTCATAAGGAGCAGCAGAAACAGGCTGAACAAGTCATTCAGGTCCATCTGACTCAACAAGAGGACATCTTCCCTCCCACCTTCTCTCAAAGAGAGCTCTCCATCTTGAAACCCTGGGCACATTATTGTCTTAGATGTTGATCTCGCACCAAAGAATTGTTGTCAGTGCATATATTTAAATCTTATCTCCCAAATAAGGAAAACAGCAATTTCTTTAAAGAACAAGTAACACTTCTTTCTCAATTGAAAAAAAATCTTGTTTTTATGTCCCTCAATCCTGGAACAGCATCGTACCTACATTTGATATTCAATACTTGATGACTTTTATTTATTTATTTAAAAAATTTTTAAATGTTTATTTATTTATTTATTTTTTTAATGTTTTATTTATTTCTAGGAGAGAGAGAGAGAGACAGCATGAGCAGGGGAGGGCCAGAGAGAGAGGGTGTCACAGACTGAAACAGGCTCCAGGCTCCGAGCTGGCAGTCAGCACAGAGCCCGACGCGGGGCACGAACCCACGAACCGCGAGATCACGACCCAAGCGAAAGTCGGACGCTCAACCGACCAAGCCACCCAGGTGCCCCAAATGTTTATTCATTTTTGAGAGACAGAGGCAGAGCATAGCAGAGGAGGGGCAGAGAGAGAGGGAGACATACTATGAAGCAGGCTTCAGGCTCTGAGCTGTTAGCACAGAGCCGGATGTGATGCTGGGCTCAACCTCAGGAACTATGTTTGAGATCATGACCTGAGCTGAAGTTGGATGCTTGACCAATTGAGCCCCCCAGGTGCCCAGAACCCTTGACGACTTTTAGAAACAACTTTTACAAATCACACACATGCCTTTTCTACAAAACAAACAAAATAATGATTCAATGGCTGAACAATCAATCAAAATAGAATAATTCAAAAATGAGGAAATCAGTGGAAAAAGAGTTAGGGTTAATTGTGAAATAATGTTTGTTAAAGATAGTTGAAAGTTCAAATATGAAGTTCAAAAATAGCTACTGAAAAAAGAAGAACCATATGAAATAGGGATACAGAGCAGTTTTAAAACTTAGATATGAGGCAAACCAAGAAGTACATAGGGTAGACATGCTAGTCTGAACACTGAACAGTGAACATTTTCACTGAACACTGAAAATCTAAAGAAGCTTTTATTTAATTCACACATACACATGTATAAAGGGAGAAATGTTGAGTAAACATTTTTTAAAACAACAGACTAGAATGTTAAATTAATATTAAGACTGGGCTGTACAGTTTCCATATCATGAGAGAATAGCTTTGTTATATTTTAAAAAGAAAACAGTTCTCTTATTTTCTTTGTGATTGCTTCCATTGTTTGACTTCAGAAGCTAGAGATAGGGAGCCAGCAAAAGCTGATCTAAGGAAACATTCACAGCAGTATTATTTCAATAATGAAAGTCCAGAAAGTTGACTTTCCCACAATAGAATCTACACACACACACACACACACACACACACAAAATGCGCTAGGGGTGCCCAGGTGGCTCAGTCGGCTTAGTGACTGACTTTGGTTCAGGTCATGATCTCACCATTCTTGAGTTCAAACCCGGCCTCTGGTTCTGTGCTGACAGCTTGGAGCCTGGAGCCTGCTTCAGATTCTGTGTCTCTCTCTCTCTGCCCTTCCGTGCTCACTCACTCTCTCTCTCTCTCTCTCTCTAAAAAATAAATAAACATTGTAAAAAAAAAAACAAGACATAGGTCATTGGTAAGATGCACTTGTAACCTCCCTTAGAAAGAAGAGTTTTCAGACTTAGGGTCACAGTGCATTAGTGGGCTGTGCAAATCTCATAGTTTGCATCCAGCTTTTTAAAAAATTAAATAGATTAGGAAGTATCAGAATGCAGACACTTCAGGTGATATTGTTTTCTGAATGTTTTTTTAAAGTGTATTTACTTTTTGAGAAAGAGAAGTTGGGGGGGAACTGAGGGTTTGGAGCAGGACCTGTGCTGACAGAAGACAGCCTGATGCCGGGCTCAAACTCACAAACCTCAGGATCATTACCTGAGCTGAAGTCGTTCATTTAACCGACTGAACCACCCAGACACCCCCATTTTCTGAATTTTTGTTTCAGGTGTGAGTGTGTAAGCAAATGCCCATGAGACAGAGAGAAGCGGACACTTTGCTATCTCACTTTGCAACCGGAAGGCGGAAAGTCTCATCATTTGATTTCCACTTCAGAAAAATTTCAGATGTAGACTGTCTCCTTTCCCACACCGTCCCCTTAGATGCAGCCGTCTTTCTTCAGGACTACTGCAACACACTCCCAACCTCTGACATTGGGCTACTTTCCATAATGATTGTTTCTGCGAAAACTTTAAAACCAACACAACTACAGCAACAATACGCAAATCCTCTCCTTAAAACCTTCAGGCCATTCCCGAGCCTGCCGAATAACAGACTCCGCACACAAACATTTGGGAATCTCCGCAAGATGGTCCTTAAGGGCTTTTCCTCCGCCGGACTTGGGGCTTTGGCCACACTGCGTTGCTCTCCTCCTGGAAGATCTGGTCGTGATGAGCAACATCCTATTTGGATGTCTTACAAAGCAAGTCCTAGGACGAGCCTAAAGAGGCCTCCTGGACCTTGTTCCAAAAACTCTCTTCCACAGCGTGGCAGGCGCATCTGCAGCTCAGTCCTGGGGAGATCCGGGTCTGTGGTTCCCACTGAGCTCTTCAGCCTCCCGCCTGCCTGCGGTTTAGAGGTAATTGACAATAGACACCGTCTCTTTCCCCGTTTGTGTGCTTGGCATTAGCCAGTAGAGGTGGGGTGGGGTGGGGTAGGGAGAGGTGGGGGGTTTGGTCTGAGTGAATGAAACCAGAAGCAAAATTCAGTTGCGGACACCAGCCACGGAGGTGACGGACTGATTTGGGCTAAGCAGAGATCATGTATTAGATTCTTGAGGGTCGTCTATCAAACTGCAGGGACGGAGCACTGGTTTTGGTCACATGCATCCCACAGGCCTTGCTGATTATGGTTTCTCAGGTTGTGTTTGCCCAAATAAAGTTGTACGCTGCCGTTTTGGACAATTCTATAAGCATCGTCTAAGTACACAGCGAGACATTTAAGAGACCTGTGTTACTTCCTTCATATACATACATAATTTTCGAAAACAAATCAGTGCGTGAATAATTTACTTTCTCCACCGATTGGAAGCCAACCGTTTGGAAAACCATTGAGAAGAGAGGAGGTAAGTCTCGTGCTAAAAATTACTTTTAAATTACACGGAAAGGAGGAAGTTTTCTTCTCCTCCTTGAATTTCGCTGAAAATCGAGCACTTTATCAGATAGTTTCGGCATGCAAGGTCATCTTTCATGAAAAGGTGAAAAAGCCTGTGAAATCCGGGTCTCCTCGGAGGACTCGGCCGTGAAACCTGGACGATTCTGCTCAGGGGATTAGTGTGGGATCCCGCTTTTGGGGGGAAAACAAACACATATGCTTCGCCCCCGAGGGGCGGGGCGGTGTCTGGAGATGCACCAATCACAGCGCGCCCTGCCCTATATAAGGCCTTGAAGGCCCGAGGCGCTTTCTGCTTCCGTTCCTGGCCGTCTTCTGCCATTTCTTCTCCCTGCGATGTCGGAGACGGCGCCTGCGGCCACCGCGGACACTGTCCTGGCTCCAATGGAGAATCCCGCACCGAAGAAGAGAGGGAGGAAGCCGGGGGGCCTGCCGGGCTCAAGTCGCAAGGCCCCGAGCCTGTCCGTGTCCAAGCTGATCACGAAGGCTCTCTCGGTGTCCCAGGGGCGCAGCGGCGTGTCCCTGGCCGCGCTCAAGAAGGCGCTGGCGGCCGCCGGCTACGACGTGGAGAAGAACAACAGCCGCATCAAGCTGGGCCTCAAGAGCCTGGTGAGCAAGGGCACCCTGGTGCAGACCAAGGGCACCGGCGCCTCGGGCTCCTTCAAGCTCAACAGGAAGGCCATTCCCGGGCCCGCCAAGAGCAAGGTCAAAAAGCCCGCTTCTGCCAAGGCCAAGAAGCTGATCTTATCCAAGGAGTCGAAGTCCCCGAAGAGTGCCAAGCCCAGCAAGAAGGCCGAGAAGCCCAGGGCCACGGCAGCTCCGAAACCAGCCAGGAGCGGCAGGAAGGCTAAGGGAGCCCGGGGCAAGCAGCCCGGGAAGAGCCCGGGGAAGGCCAAGATCACCCAGCAGAAGACGCGCACCAGGAAGGTGGCCTCCAAGAAGTAAGCCGGAGACCGGCTGATTCCCAAGGAACCCAACGGCTCTTTTAAGAGCCATCTCAAGTTCTTGAAAAAGGGCTGGGCACTGAGCTTAGAAGTTCATAAGTAGGCCACTACACGTCTATTAAAAAGTTTACTTTTAAGATGTTCGAAAGTCTCATCAGATGTGCAGATCAGTAGGGATTCCAGTATTTGAAAATTATTCCTGTGTTGTCTAATCTTTTTTTTTTTTTTTTAAAGTATTTTTATTTATTTCTAGGAGAGAGAGAGACAGCGTGAACAGGGGAGGGTCAGAGAGAGAGGGAGTCACAGACTGAAACAGGCTCCAGGCTCTGAGCTGGCAGTCAGCACAGAGCCCGACGCGGGGCTCGAACCCACGAACCGCGAGATCATGACCTAAGCGAAAGTCGGACGCTTAACCGACTAAGCCACCCAGGCGCCCCTTGTGTTGTCTAATCTTAAAGAAAAGATTAAACATTTATAGTTAGCATAGGGCATGGGGTGGGGGAGGGGGGGAGAGGGTTTGTGTCGAGTCGATTTTGGGCTCAGGTCAGGATCTCACAGGTTCCTGAGTTTGAGCAGTCTGCTTGGGATTCTCTCCCTCTCTCTGTCCCTCTTCTGTTCCCACTGTCTCAGAATAAACTTAATAAAAAAATAAGTAAAACATAGGGCACACGGCCTGTATCACCGCCATACATAGCTGGGAACACCAGCATTGATGAGGAAGGAGTAGGGATCAACTCCGTGGGCAAACCGGTGACTTTGCAAGCTCTCAGTTTACACTTGTGTGTGGTGCCATTGGAGCCAGGGTTTCATACCTCACTGCTCACAACTTTTTGGGGGTCAATATACATGGGACTCAACTTGTAACTAATGGGGTTCCTGGGGGGCTCAGTTAAGCGTCTGACTTCGGCTCAGGTCATGATCTCATGGTTTGTGGGTTTCGAGCCCTGCGTGGGGCTCTGTGGGCTCTGTGCAGACAGCTCAGAGCCTGGAGCCTGCTTCGGATTCTGTCTTCCTCTCTGCCCCTCTCCTACTCATCTCTGTCTCAACAATAAACCTAAAATTAAAAAAAAAAATTGTAACAAACTTCGGATGAGGGGGAAGTTTTTAAATCTGCAATTTTTCACTTAACATTTTCAGTTTACGGTTGTGAGATTATTGAAATAGTATCCTCAATATTTCCAAAATACTGTGTTGTCATGTTAAGAAATGGTGTCATCATAGGATTAGTCTAATATAATTGTAATTCTGTGCATTTTATTTACAAAGAGAGTGTACAGTCTTGTCCAGATGTGTTCCACCGGCTGAAGACTATTAACCTAAAACCTATTTGGAATGTTGGGGTTACAACGTTGTTAGGGTCCGAACTGAACTCACAAAAACTATCAGGAAATTCTCAGGGTCTGAGTTAAAGCATCTTTTTTAAGCAAAATTCATTTATTTCAGCTCCCAATTTAGGAATTAACACTCTTATTTGAAGATGATAAATATGAAATTCATGCTGTTGATCTTATTTGGGGTCTTGGTAGTATTTTGGGCGACTCTGAACAAAGCCCAATGCAGAACTACTTAACGCTTTCTGTACTTAACGCTTTCTGTCTACACGCAAGTATGTACTGAAGGTAACACTAGGGCCTAGCTTTTCCAAATTCATTTCTAGAACTGGGCCTCTGTCAGTTTTGTCATATGGAGAACGAATAAACAATGGTTTAAGGTTGGACAGAATCATGCACAGCCCAGGTCCTGCTTGGACACGGCGGCGTTCCCCTTCCAGGCTGGCGCGGTAGCGACGGAACACGTTTCCCTTGACAGGCAAGGCCATGCGTCCCTTGTCTGACCCCCGCGCCCCCCCTCCCATGCGCCCCCCCCGCGCCCCCCCCTCCCATGCGCCCCCCCCCCCGCGCCCCTCCTCCCCCACCCCCGGCCTGGCAGACAGCAGGCCGCCCAGCACTGCGCGAATCCTCTAGAACTGGCTCTGGGAGCCTCCCTGCGTTTGTTCCTAGTACTTGTGTAGGGCCTGGCATGCATCGGATTAAGCACCCTGTCAGCCAGCGGAGGTCTTCCCTCGGGCTCCGGGGACAGCTCTTGAAACCCTGTTTGGCCGACAGGAAAATGGCCCTGGAAACCCAGCCTCCGCAGCTCCCGCCGCACCGAGCACCCAATGAGGGCGCGTCCTCAGAGGACCCTCATTTGCATACCGGCGGACTGGACCCAGGGCTCCGCGCCCTGCGGGCTTCCGGTCAGGCAGAGACCTCCGGAGCACCGGGTGGGAACCTGGGTTTCCGTCTGTGTAGAACAGCCACTTCTATCCCGGAGCGAGGTTACGGCCAACTTTACGGACCTTACTTTTAAAGATCACTTTTTCGAGAACCGGAAATCACGTTAGTGAAGCGAAACGGCCCAAGACCTACTACAGCCGCCAAAACAGGACCTTATTGCTCACGCAGCTGAACGCCCCGAACCCCGAAATCCTGCGCGCAGAAACAGCCCTTTCAAGTGACTTTGTGGGCGGCCCTGAAAAGGGCCTTTTTGTGCGTGTGGCGGTCGTCGTGGGTCGCGGGCGCTCAGCCCCCGAAGCCGTAGAGGGTGCGGCCCTGGCGCTTGAGCGCGTAGACCACGTCCATGGCCGTGACCGTCTTGCGCTTGGCGTGCTCCGTGTAGGTGACGGCGTCCCGGATCACGTTCTCCAGGAACACCTTGAGCACCCCGCGCGTCTCCTCGTAGATGAGGCCGGAGATGCGCTTGACGCCGCCGCGCCGGGCCAGCCGCCGGATGGCGGGCTTCGTGATGCCCTGGATGTTGTCGCGCAGCACCTTGCGGTGGCGCTTGGCGCCGCCCTTGCCCAGGCCCTTCCCGCCCTTGCCGCGGCCTGACATGGCTGCTACCAAAGTGAGCGAAGAGCGCGCACACAGTGCCTTAAATAGCATTTGGGCGGACCTGATTGAGAACTAAATGCACGACTGGTTTTTTTTCCAAATTAGGTCAGCAAGGGGGTGGGGCAAAGAGAGCTCATTAGCATCTCGCCGCTCTCATTGGCTAGTGAAGAGTCGCCCTTCCTCGGGCGGTAGCGCGGCTGAAAAGCTGAAAAGCTTGTTTCTCTTTTGTTCTGCGCTACATTTTCCGCGCGCGTTTGCAAATGGAATGTGTTATGTCAAGCCGCTGAGTAGAGGGCACCACTCCACGTTTGTCTGCATTTTCACTTAGTAACTAATAAATTATGTAATGATTCCTCGGGGGAATGTAGAGGGATCTGCGAAGGACGGTGGATTGATAGGTCAAAGGACTTTCCCTTCCATTGTTTTTAATATTCCTATTAAACTGTCGCCTTTGATGCCCTTCTTTGTGCTGGACGCTGGAAGTTCTGGCCCTGTGTTTCAAAACAAAAGAAGAATTTGCAAATTAAGATTTCTTATTCTCTTTCAAACATTTATTAGATGACATTTATTAGATGTTTCGACAACAGTCCGTGGCAGGCAGGGAATGCACAGCTAGGCGTGAAGGAAGCCTTCTCCCTGGCCCCGCCTGGCCTGTTCCTCCTGCGGCTCCTGACAAGGTCCCCTTTCCTCCTCAGCTGATCCCTTTTCAACCGTCTTCAGGTTTAGGGACCATAACAAGCATTTTGTGTAGCTGGGATTAATCGCAGGGCAGGGCTAATACTTGATTAAGGTCATTACACAGCCTACCAGGCCCTTCCCTGGAGGGCCTTTGATGAGATTATTGGTGTTTTAAATAAGGCTAATCCCATTAAGAAAAAAGAAGAAAAGCAGAATGGAGCAGAATTGGATCTGAAGGTGGTTGAAAGAGAGAGCCTTTCAGATAAAAAATTTCTCTTTAGTCTCCTGCTGCAGCTTTTGAAAATGTCCATGATCAGAGTTATTCCAGTTAAAAGGTGGGGAGGGCACACCCTCTCTCCATTCTGATTAACAAAAAGGAGACTTAAATTGAGTCTTTGAGGAGACTTAAAATGAGACTGTGGCCAGAGAGAGACCACGTATTAAAACCTCATACTCGTTTAAGCAAAGAGAAAAGACTCAGGAGAGGGTAGGGAAGCTCTAAATGGCATATGATCTGTAACACTTGTGAAATAATTAAGTATGATACTCTTCTGCCCCCAAATTGAGCCTTCTGAGGTTCCTGACTTACTACCCCCTCCCCACAACAAACACATACTTTATAAGGGGTCTCTTAGCTAGGAAGAAATGTCAAACACTATAGAGAAAAAGTGCAAGGTCTGAGACATTATAAGTAAAACTGAAATCTCAATATGCTCTTTAACTCACGGAAATAAAAATAGAGTGTATATAATATGGTAATTTCATGGAAAAAATATGTGATGTGAGCCACCTTTGATACACAACCCAGCAGTTCCATCTGCACTTATGTATTTTTGCTTGTTTGTTCAAGTAGGCTTCAAACCCAGCATGGAGCCCAAGGCCAGGCTTGAACTCACAACCTTGGAGATCATGATCTGAGCTGAGATCACCAACACAATGCTCCACCGGCTGAGCCCCCCAGGCACCACAATGCCCAGATTTAAACCAGAAGTCTACATCCGCTTTCTCCCAATTTTATTTTGCCCACTCCATTGTTAATAAAACTTCACTTTTATTTTGACATCTTATTTCTTTTTCCTCTTCCTTTTTCTGAATTTCTTCTTGTTTAAAATTTTCTCGATGACATTGACTCAGAAGTCATGAATGTCAGTACAGAAAGATTTAAAACTTGTGCACGTATAGATGTATACAAAGAACAGATCCTCCTACTCCCTGAAGAGTACAGATCTTGGCCATAAGGCCTGGGAGGGAGTAGCTCGCTCTGGAACCTGTATGGCAGCCTTTCTCTTCACCTCCCTCTCCTCAGAGAGGACCTGGTTTCATTGCACCCGGTTCATTCAACGCGGGAGCTAAGCGCCCTTTGGATAAAAGCCCTGTAAACAAGTTGTGGCTAAGAGGCCACGTCACACATTTGAGCGAATAAAACTATGAGGTTACTCAAAGGTCTTATAAAAATGTGAAATGCCCACCACCACTCTCTGCAGAGGACTCGGAGTATCAGAAATGTCCCCTGCGCTTCCTCCGCCTGCTGTCCTGGGTGGGCTTGCTCCTATAAGCATTCTTAATTTATTTGACCCACTAAAAAAAAGTTCTTTGGACAGAGAATTTCTAACATTATCTTTTCAGATACATTTGTTTCAAAATTTTTATCAATGTCTGTAATTGAATTTGATTTTCCAAACTCCCTTGAATACTCTCTTAATCACACACACAAAGCACCAAGAAAGTATTTCTCATTTGTTTTAATGGCAAAACTGTGATTCCAAACACACACAAAGGAAAGACCATTAACTGTTACATTCATATTTGAGACAGATGCGCTCTCTCTCGGGCGCACTGTGAAGCTCTTTTCGTAGTTGGTTATTGACTGTTTTGTGGAAATGACATTCTGGTTACTGTTTAAGGAATAAAATTCAGGACATTTAATCAGTCCATGGAGGTCAACTGATGAGACTGGGGTTTATACAAATACCGGTACTTACCCACCTCGCCCCACCAGGAGTACATGGAAGACTCCAAAATTCTTTTGTAGAATCTTTGGATCAAAAGCTAGATTTTTATATTTAAAAAGTAACCCCACTTTCAAAAAATAAAACAACAACAACAACAAACACCAACAATACTTTCTACCCAAATCTGGTGAATAAAACGGTTGAGAGGTGTTTTAAGGCAACTCATCCCCAAGTTTCTCCTTTAATGATACAGAGACTAAACAGAAATGTGAATTTATTAGTTAGAAATTTGCTTATTATCAGAAAAAAGTCCTTAAGTTAAAAAAATACACACCAAGAAAATATTTCCAAATATTTATGAAAAAATACGGGGATATGGCAAAATCGGAAATATTAAAACAGACTCCGTCCTCACTGCAGGAAACATCAGAGGCTGTCGCCACCATCAGGAGCATCTCAAAAAGACAGGAAGAATGCCACACTACATGTTTTCTTGACTCAGAAACATGTACCGTGTAGCGGTCATGAGCTTGACTCTGAGGCAGAGTAGCTGTGGCAAAAATCCAGCCCAATCATTTTCTAGCTGTGTAACCTTTAGCAGGTTATTTAACCTCTCTGTGCCTTGCTTTCCATACAGCAAAATACGGGTAATGAAATAACTATAGTTCCTATGTCACCGGATTCTTCAGAAACATTAGTATTCAGAACAAGAACTGACATCCAGTTAAGTGTGTAATAATTATTAGCTGAACAAAAAAATGGTTCTGCTTAAAACACACCATACACGTCTCTCACACACAAGCAAGCAGCCGAAAGAGTCATGCAGAAAAGAGAATGCGTGAAATACCAGAATGCATCCGCGCCCAGGAACACACACACACACAAGCCGTCCAGGAGGCTTTGTAACGAAATTGTCACACAAAATAACTAATAGTGAATTAACATTCTGCACGTTAACACTGGTTCCAAAAGACACATGAAAAAATGATGACCTGACGTCTACAGAAAGAAATCAAAACCTCAAAATATCTGTCCATAGATGTGAACATCTTAAATGTTTAAGGCCATGCATTCTCGAGTTCTAGTCCTTATTAGAGTGTGATTAGAAAAAAAGTATAGCCTAAAAATGGTAGCTAATAAGAATCTTGCAGCATTTTAGAGGTCTTCTGTTTTTGAGCGTGTGTGCGTGTGTACATGAAGAATGCTTTGCAGTGCGTCAAGTACACCCAGCACCGTAAGACTGTTTTAGTAACACACAGCGAGAATTTTTGCACCCGACCTCCCAGCAGGTCTTAACCAACTGCTGCACGTTGCCTGGAGAGGTTACCAAAGACATTCTTCTGTTCCCAGTTCAGGTAGGTCAAGAGCCCTGTGGTCAAACAGCTGGTGTCTAGTTCCTTATTTCCTCCCATCTCCAGGGGCTGTTCTCCGCAAACGGTGTCCAGCGCCCAGCTCTTCTGCATCCATCCTGACGCCTCCCTGCAGGAAAACCCCGGCCCCCGCGCTCAACAGTCACATGACCACCGTGGCACTTTTGACCATGGCCACCAGGGGGCACCCTTCTCCACACTACCGCGCTTTGTAGGTGGTTTTGCTAGAGGCGAAATAAGATTCAGAACTTCAAATGTTAAGTCTGAGATTTTTTCAAATGTAGTTGACCTTAAGCATTAAACAAGGGCAGAAAAATTAAGCTAGGGCACACTGAAAGGAATCAGAGGTTTTAAATTTCCGTTATAAAAGGAAAAGTAACAGGCCACCGTAGCAAACTGAAATCCCAGCCTGTGTGAAATAAAACCGATATGAAACAAGCCGTTGCCTCATTAATTGTAACACATCCTCAAAAGCTAGAAGAGCAAGGGAAGCTTTTGGGAAGTCTGTTCTGAGTTCAGAATGACATCTAAAGAGCAAGAATTTGTTAGTGTGCATTCAGCATGACTTGGAGGTAGAAGGACCGTGTTACAGCTTAGATAAAAATGTTTCCAGAGCAGGAGAGAACATGTAGTTCAGCTAGCGAGGTTCAGTGAAGACAGTCCATTAAAGAAAATGCAAAAAAATCGGAAGCCATATCGACGTCCCACAAATGATTAAGTTGATGAATCCATCAGATGGATAAGCATGTAGCAAAACTCGTGCTTTTGTGCCCCGCACAATTCATTGTATGTTTATTCACATGGCTTTGGTAATTTTGTGTATTTTGATAAAGCAACACTGAGCGGAAGTCTACCCACATGTTAACAGGGTTTATCTCTAGCTAATGGAATGACGGTTTCAACTTCTCTACAGTAAGCACAAATTACGTGTACTTTTATCCGCTTAATTTCCGTAAACAGAAAGAAAAGTTAAAAAAAAAAATTGAGACCTCTTTACCCAAATTCAATACGCACCAAACAAACCATTTTGAGGCACGCGCCCTCCCAGGGAGGAAGCCCGGTTGTCGGTTTCGCAGCCGCACGCGCAGAGCGGCAGCGCCGAGTCCACACACGCTGTCCGGCCCGCATCCGCACTCGTGTTGTTCTAAACAACACACGGTCAGACGTATGACTGTCCCAGAATCCAGGAATTCCTGAGCAGCCGCAGAGCAGTTTCTTTTCTTTCTCCCTTTCTCTCTCTCTCTCTCTTCCTTCCTTCCTTCCTTCCTTCCTTCCTTCCTTCCTTCCTTCCTTCCATGTTTTATTTATTTATTTGTAGACAAACACACAGAGCATGAGCGGGGGAGGGGCAGAGAGCGGGGGAGACACAGAACCGGAAGCAGCTCCAGGCTCCGAGCTGTCAGCACAGAGCCCGACGCGGGGCTCGAACTTCCGAGCCATGATCAAGAGCCGAACTTGGACGCTTCACCAACTGAGCCACCCCGGCGCCCCAGATCGGTTTCTTTTTAATGTGCACATACGGGGAGAAGACCCAGACTGCGGGACTCCTAGGAAGATGCCAGGATACCTGCGTGGTGGCTTCCATTTTACCATCTCAAAAACGCGTTTTCATGTTTATGTACGAGAGAGTGCGCGGGTGGGGGGGGTGCAGGGCGAGGGGCGGAGAGAGAATCCCAAGCAGGCTCAGCGCTGTCAGCGCCCGGCCGACGCCCTGGGGCTCGAACTCACCATCGTGAGATCATGACCCTGGCGGAACCAAGAGTCAGACGCTTAACCGACTGAGCCCCCCATTCGCCCCCCATTTTTCCAAGTTTAATGTGACAGAGGTTGTTCCATTTCCGGGAGGGAAATGCCACCAAGGTTCTGACTCTGGAGGCCCCGCGGGGGGAAAACACAGGCCCAACGCAGCACTAGGTGACCCCGGCAACCGCAGCCTGACCCGGGCCCCGAGACTAGGTGACCCCGGCAACCGCAGCCTGACCCGGCCGGAGAGATGCGCGGCAGAGCCGGCGGGAGGTGGGGCTCTTTCTCCAGAGACTTCAGGCAAGTGGCCGCGAGGGTTTTCTGCTGCTTCCCCTGCATGACGAGGAGCTCACCGAGGATGAAGTCACCAAGTCACGGAAGAGCTGTCCATCCCACCCCCAGCCCCTCTCCATTTACTGTGCAACCTCTAAACCACCTGAGCACGGTGGTGCGTGAAAGGGGTCAGAGTCTCACGGAGTTTGAAACCTGTCTCTCTCCCTAGCAGCCGGGAGGATACTCTGTACTTCATTTTCTTCATCTAAAAAAAATGAGGATAATACTACTTACATCAAACAATTTTTGTAAGAATTCTATGAGATAATGCGTGTAAGGAGGTGTTCAGAACTCAGTCTGGCAGCAAGTGGTTTTTTCTTTTTCTTTCCTTTTTTTTTTTTTTTGGTAAGTGTCAGCTACCGTATCACCATCATCATCATCCTAATTATCATTTTCATTATCATTTCGTAGCAGAGGCCAAGTGCGAAATTACTGTTACTTCAAGCCTGGCAGACCGAGAGGCGCTGTGAATGCATTAACATACTCATTCAGCTGCAGAAACCTACATGTCACCTTTCTGCCAAAAGAAAAAGATGCCCCTCCTCAAGACACTTGCCACCCTCTTTCTGGAAAACTGTCATAATACACACAAACATCCACACATGATAGCTCTTCTGGGAAACGCCCCTCCCTGGGTTATGCAGTGCACGGCCTTCACCACTGTACAGTGACCTACTTCACCCTCTGATGGAACAGACCACAGAGCCTGGAGAAAGTTCATAGCTTTTCTCAGTTGTGGAGAGAAATGGTGAGGCCCCCCAAATTTCAGGAGCCCTCTTCCAGAGGTAGGAGAGGAGAGGCCAAAGGCATATGGAGTTGAAGTGAGGCAGCCACTAGAGGCGGCTGGAGAGGCGACAAGCAGCGCTGGGACAGGCGTAGGCACTCCACGCCCGAGATGGGGTAAGTTGTGGAGGCTGCCCAGGGATAGGCCCCAAGCAGACAGCTCCTTGGTGGGTTCCTGTCTGTGAGTCCTCTGTCCTGGAAGGCAAGGAAGGCCCCAGGGCGCCCCGTCGTCCGGTCTCCGGTCTCCTCCCCGCAGGAGTCACTCACACTCGGCCAGCACGTAGTCCCCCATGACTCCTCCTGTAGAGATGAGACAGGAGAGGGTGTGCTGTCACCTCACTGGCCTCACCTCCCGCATCCAGTCACCTGGATGGGACCCCTCCCTTCCGGAAGAACCCCTGGGGGTTCACGCCTCTCACCTGGAGGTGCTTGCCAGCTTTCTGGCCCGGCTCCTTGCCTCCCCTCGCCTCCCACACTCCCCCAGCCCTGAGCCTCTGTACCCCCTACGGTCCCTGCACTGACTTCCCAGGGCTCCCTGTAGAACATTCTCAAGGCCCCCAGGCTCCGGGCTGCCTCGGTCTGCCCCTCTTTCCCCCCCACCACAGAGGCTCGCTCAGGAGCTAGGAACGCACGTTTGGGGACTGACAGGACGGGCACGGTGACTTCTCAGCCCCCACTGGCCATGTGCGTGGTCGCTCCGTCTGCGGAGACAGGCCCAGCCCTCAGCCTCTCCTAAGGAAACCGACTTCTTACGAATCCCCAGCAGAAGGTGGTCACTCCTTCTCTGACCCCCGGAAGAGTCCCCTTCGTGTCTGCCTCAGGGCCTTAGGCTCTTCCTTAACTGTGTTCACTTGTGCTACGCATCCCACCCCTCACTAGAGCTGGGGTCTGAGAGTCACCACGGTGATGGCCGCCACGTCGGAGCCCCTGCACTACCTCAAATAGCACCTTGCAGACCAGCAGCCGCTCAGAAGAAGTTTGCTGGACGTGGGCCTTTCATTCTGAGGAGAACCACGGATTCCTGCTCTCAAGGAGGCCCCAGGGTCCCCGGAGGAAAGAAGAGGAACAGGGGTCTTGTGGTGCCAAAGCCGCTCTGCCCTCCCGGAGCCCCCCTGCCTGCAGCATCAGTGTGTCCTGGGTCCCAGGCGCTAAGACGCTTCCTCCTCCTTCCTACTCACTCGAAGCCTGCCTTTTCCTTAAGATCCTGAACAGAATTCCGATACCAAAGAGGACGACGCAAACAGCGATCCCGCTGATGGCTCCGATGACCAGGGTGCTGGGCATCGAGGGCTCTGAAACGGCAACGGCGAGTTGGAGCTGTGGGTGCCCCGCAGCCCGGCACGGACCCCTCCCTGCGGACCAGCCGCTGGGGTCCCGCCCACGACAGATCCCCCCGCCCCCCGCTCTCGGCCGTACCCCACGTGGCAGCCAGGGGCTGGTCGAGCCCCGGGTGCTCCACCAGGCAGGTGTACCTCCCCTCTTCCCCGGGAGGCACGGCCACGGCCAGCCAGCCCTGGTAAGTCCCGTCCCCGCTGGGCAGCACGTCCTGAGGCTCGACGTCCTTGGCGTCCAGTGGCCGCCTGTCCTTCAGCCACCTCATGGTGACGTTCTGGGGGTAGAAGTTCAGAGCCTGACACCGCAGGGTGGTGGCTGCCGAGGCCTTGTGACGGGTCACCTTCACCAAGGGAGGCACTGGACGGGAAGGAGGAAGGGTCTGGGGAGGCGATCTTTCTACCCTTGCCAGCAAGCCTGGGACTTTCACTTCCCTCCTCTACGGGCTGGAGGCAGCAGATTCCCTATTCAGACAGGGCAGGCTGCCAGAGAGACAGCACTTTGGGCCCCAGGGCGAGTTGCAGGGCTCAGCTCTGACGTGGTGCTGTGCAGACGGAGGCTGAGTCCCCCCGCCCGTCCCGTGGACAAGCGTGCACGCCCGCAGCTCGTGGCTTCTGTGCACGACACTGAATCACATACAGTTACCCCGTGTGTGGCTCAGAAACGATTGAATAAGCACTCCTGGAAATCCCACCTCGTCCAACCCAACGAGAAAGCTTGTAGGAAGGGGCCCGGAAGACAGCCAGGCGTCAGGGGCCGTCTACGCTCTGTGACCGTGTCTGTGACAGTCACCTTTAACCTCCGAAGGACCCGGCTGCTCTGATCTTCGCCCCCGCGGGTCCTCTCCTGACCTGGCATTCACGTGATACCTGACATCTCTGAGTTCTCCAGCCGGGCTCTGGGCTACTTCACAAGGTCACAGACACCACTCCTCTGGCCACGTGCACAGAGGAAAAAGTGAAAGCCAGGACCCTGGGCTGTCAGACATCTCGGTTCTGCGGTGAACTCAGACCTCGGGTCCTTCCCGGACAGTCCCACGACCCTGGCCACCTCTGACGCCCGAGCACAGACCTCGACCCGTGTTCTCCTGGGCTAAGGAGGGGGTGGGGTGGGGGGAGGGAGGGCAGGGGTGCTCCCGCCGTACCTTGCCGGTCCAGAGCCCCGGTCCCCAGCTCCAACAGACTCCGCAGCTGCACGGGGCAGTCCCTCTCCAGGTAGGCCCTGTTCTGTTTGGCCCGGATTGCGTTCACTTCCCACTCGAGCTTGGTGGCCCGGGCCCTGGGCTCTGCTGCCCCCCAGTCCAGCGTCTCCGGGTGGAATTCGAGGTAGTTCTGCCCGTCATACCCGTACATCCAGAAGCCCCTGGTGCTGTTGTCCTCTCGCAGCTCGCAGCCCAGGATTACCTGCAGTGTGTGGGACTCCAACGACACCCCGAGCTTCGTCACTGAAACCACATGAGTCCCTCTGTCACCGTCCCCGGGGACCCAACGGCCTCGCACACCCCTGCCCCCCCCGGGACCTCACACCCCCTGCTCTGGCCCCTGGAGCATCTCTGAGGGAGAGACATGTGGGGGCCCCGCCCGCGTACCCTTGCTGTGGTTGTGATTGTCCATGATGGTCCAGAAGTCCACGATGAACATGTGATCCCAGCCTTTCAGGCTCTGACTCAGCTGCAGCCACAGCTGGCTTGTGGCCACACCCTGGAGCCACTGGGCGCGCGGCTCTGCCCGGCGACTCTCGTGATTGTAGGACACAAACAGCTGGTCGTCCACGTAGCCCAAGGCCTCGAACAGGGGCAGCCCGAGGTCTGGCACCGAGGCGCCCATGAAGAGGTAGCGCAGGGAGTGCGACCCTGGGGAGAAGGCGACAGGACAGCCCCGTGGGCCCCCAGGAGGATTGGGAGGCGCCGCCGCAGCCCTTCTGAATCAACGCCCGGCACCTGCTGTGTCACGGCCCACCCCGTGAGTTGTGGGGTGCGGCGCCTCGCTTCCCTCCGCGACGGGCCTGTCTGCTGTCACCCTTCCCAGCCCCCGGCCTCTGCCCCGCTTCTCACGATTCGGGCAATCGCCCCTGCAGCCCACAGACTCCATAAGATCCCAAAGCGTGTCAGACTGAATGAGACCCGGGTCCAGAGCGCTTTGCTGGTGGGGCTTCCCCACGTGCTTCCATCTGTAACCCCCTCCGCGCGTGTTTGCTGCCCAGCGCCGGGAGGGCTGCTGCTGAGTCACTCAGAGCAGCTTTTCAGCGTGGAGACACTTTCAAAGCGAACAGAGAAGAAGCCCCAGGAAGAGCACACCCTCTATCCGGGCGGCGGGCCTGCTCAGCCCCGGAACGAGGGGTCGGGCGGTGGGCGCCCCTGCCGCCTGGAACAGCGCTCAGCACAGACTCGCTGGATGAACAGATGACATTTGCCCTATTGTTATTCGTACACCCACCGCCACCACTCGGGGATGACTACTTGGAATCTCAGTCCAAACCCAGGCTCTGGGTCGCGCGAACCGCCACGCTGCTCGAGGCCATACAAATTCTCAAACAGTTAAATAACAGAGCCGCCTTTGACGTGTGTCTTTCACCAACACCCAGATCTCCCTCCCACCTTCCCCCGACACACACCCAAAACACATCCGTCTCCCTCCTCCTCTGCCTGCGCCCAGGAACTAGGACAACCGCCTCCTGGCTGCTCCCCCGCCCACTCTCTGCCCTCCCAGAGCAGCCTGAGCAACCTTTCTAAAAAGTTTTTAATGTTTTATTTATTTCTGAGAGAGAGAAAGCGTGAGCAGGGGAGGGTCAGAGAGAGAGAGATACAGAATCTGAAACAGGCTCCAGGCTCTGAGCTGGCTGTGAGCACAGAGCCCGACGCGGGGCTCGAACCCATGATCCGTGAGATCATGACTTGAGCTGAATCCAGACGCTTAACCGACTGAGCCCCCCAGGCGCCCCCCTGAGCAATCTTTCTAAAGGCTGTGACAGATCGTGTCACTTCTCAGCCGGAATCTGCCCCGAAGCCTGCGAGCCCTTGGAGACCTGGCGTGTGGCCTGTGGCCCCTGCGGGCCCCTACAGCCCTGTCCCTGCCCCTCCTGCAGCCAGGGGGTCCCCCCGGGAGTGCTGGCTCTCGGCAGACACGGTGCAGTCTGGAGACTGTTTGCGGGCGTGCCGCTCACAGCCAGTGGGCTGACGACAGAGGCGCTGCAAAGCCTCGCACAAAGCACACGGGGGGGGGGGGGGGGAACGCACCCCTGCTCCAATTCAGCTTGCGGGGTCCCTCCGCTCGCCAGAGGGCGTGGCCTCCGTTTCCTTCCAGGCTCCGTGGTGCTGCCAGGACCCCGAGGGGCCTGCCTGGGTGTCTGCCCAGCTCCCAGCGCCCCTTGGTCCTCTGTACCCTGCTGGTTATGACCGTCCCTCACCAGAACGCAAACTCTCAGGGTCAAGGGCGCCCCCCCCGCCCCACGCGGCCGGGCAGCGCAGCTCGCTCCGTGCTCGTGAACCGCGCCTTTCTGTTCCACACCTGCTTCAGGATTCGGCCTCCCAGGCGGCGCGACAGTGAACAGTCAGGGCCGTAGGGACGCGGGCTCTGCCCCAGAAGCCGGGGTAACACTGAGCCGAATCAAGCAGGGGCGGGGAGGTCATGCCTCATTCTCGTCGCCTATAAACCGTGGATTCGGGAGCGACCCACCCTCCGCGTGTTGTTCCCAGGCCGTGTGCAAAGGTGTGAAGCGTCGCGGTCGCCTGGGATTGGAAGCAGTGCTGGTACTGACTCCGGAATGGCTTCTAACCTGGGGGGGGGGCGTTTGCCCCGAGGGCCGGAGACCCGCCCGCCTGTAGGGTCACCCTAACAACGCTCCGAGCTCCCGAAGGCTCACCTAAGTCAGCCCGGATCACAGGACGGCGGGCGGAACCGAGTTCAGGACGCAGCCGTTAGGCGGCGTCACGCCGGCGCCCGCTAGCGAACGCCCCCTAATCACGCCGTGCGGCTAACGCGGGGCCCCAACCTCCAGCAATGGAAACGAGGACCTTTCCGTTCAGTCCAAAAGTCCAGAAATCACGGATATGCTACTTTTCCAGGCAAAACACAACCGCCGAGGGTCAGAAAGGCCCTGGGCCTCCCCCGACCCCGAGGCCGCAGGGGGGGCGGGGCGGGCAGTCCTGCCCCCGGCCCGCTCGCGCCCCCCCCCCCGCGCGCCGTCAGGCGGGGGGCGGTGGGGACCCCGCGGGGCAAGCCCTCCGACCTCCGCTGAGCCCCGTGTGTAGACAGCGGCCCGGCCCAGGGCGTCTGTCGGGAGGAGAACGTCCTGTCTGGGGCCAGCGGGGGCCCGCGACGCGGCCCAGGGCAGAGCCGGAGTGCGCCGCCCCGCGTCCCGGGCCCCCAGCGCAGCCTCGGAGAGGGGCGCACGGATTAGCCGTTGAAAGCGTCACGGTCGGCGGGGGAAGCGGGTGGCCCGGGCGCCACCCTGGGGGAGCTGGGACGGGAGTGGGGGGGACACAGGTCCCGGGCGATGCGGGGGGCGTCCCACCATCCCGCCTGCACCCCGGCGGCTGAGCCCCCTCCCGGGAGAGGCTGCGCTCGCGGCCCGGCCGTCCCTCCGCACTTGTCGACCCCAGGAGCGCTGCAAAGCGCGTTTGGATCCGCTCCCCCCGCGGCCCGGACTCACGCGGCGGCAGCCCGTGCGCAGCCCCGGTCGGCAGCGGGAGCAGCAGGAGCAGCAGGAGCAGCGCGCGCCGCGCTCGCGGGCCCATCTCCCCCGCCGCGCCCGCGCGCCCCCGCGCCCCCGCCGCGCCCGCGCGCCCCCGCCCCCCCCGGCGCGCACGCGCGCCCCCGCGCTTCCCCGGGCCCCGTGCGGCGGCGCCGCGGGCGTGGCGGGCGAGGCCGCGGGGACCGCGGGCCAAACTTCCTGGCCAGTACGATCCTTTTCCGGGCCGTGGGCAGAAGGAAACGGGCCTCCCGAACTGGAACTGTCCTGCGGCCGCGAACACTTGTGAAACGCTCGGTGACCCCGCGATGCTCTCCCGGTGTTCAGTCCTCGGGGTGTTGCTGACTCGGGAAAACGTATTTGACAAGTTTCGGATCTAAACAAGTTTCTCCTAGGCAGTATTTCAATAGCAAGTAATTTAAAAATTCAGGGATACATTTTCAACATTTGTTTCGTAAGTTCAATTTGGGTCAATCTCGGTATTGGGCTTAGAAAAACGACTTTGTGCAAACCTTCCATTTTCGTTCCTAATTAGAATTAATGAAATCATAAGATTAATAAGTTAGATCCCCACTGAAACATCTTTACAATTTATATAATTAAGCTAAATGTCACAAACTTTATAACACCTTGGAATCGCCTGGAATATCATTAAAACTACTGATGCTCTGTTTTTACCCTCAGATACCGATTTAATTGGCGCCAGGATTTTAAAAGCTGCCCCCCCACACAAAGTTTGGGAACTAGTGCTTTAGATATTTCAAAACATACTAACAAATTCAATACATGTATTTTTCCTATAACCTTTATATATCTAATAAATCCAATAAGCAATACTTTTTTTAATCATGTATGCAGATTTTGACCATCTAAGAAAAAAAAATCAAACTAGGAAATTAGGGCCTGCCTGTAGGGGGATATGAAATGCAACTGGGAAAATGTTGAATACTGTTGATGAGTACAATTGGGGGTGATTGTGATATTGTTTTTCCCCCCTTGGTAACAGCTTTATTATCAAGATTTAATTCACATACTGTATGATTCATCCAGCTAAGGTATAAAACTCAGTGGGTTTTAGTATTCTCACAACTTTTTTTTTTTTAATGTTTTATTTATTTCTAGGAGAGAGAGAGACAGCGTGAGCAGGGGAGGGTCAGAGAGAGAGGGAGTCACAGACTGAAACAGGCTCCAGGCTCTGAGCTGGCAGTCAGCACAGAGCCCGACGCGGGGCTCAAACCCACGAACCGCGAGATCATGACCTGAGCTGAAGTCGGACGCTTAACCGACTAAGCCACCCAGGCGCCCCAGTGGGTTTTAGTATTCTCAAAAGCCATGTAACCATTACCACAGTTTAGAACATTTTTTCCTCCTCTCGGCAGAGAAACCTTGTACCTCTTAGACACACCCCCAAACCTCACCATGCCCCCACCCCACCCCACCCCAGACAATCGCTAACCTACCTTCTCTCAAATAGATTTAACCGTTCTGAACATTTCATACACATGGGATCATATAATACGAGGTTCTTCACGACTGGCTTCTTTTATTTATTTATTATTTATTTATTTATTACTTTTTAAAAAGTTTATTTATTTTGAGAGAGACAGAGACAGCGTGAGTGGGGGAGTGGTCGAGAGAGAGGGAGGGAGAGAGAATCCCAAGCAGGCTCTGCCTAGCCAGCGTGGAGCCCCACGTGGGACTCGAACTCATGAAACTGTGAGATCATGACCTGAGCGGAAGCCAAGAGCCCAATGCCCAACTGCCTGAGCCCCCCAGGCACCCCCCTGGCTTCTTTTATGTAGCATAATGGTTTCGTGCACCTTTTTCATGAGCAGATAATATTCCATCACACCACATTTGATTTATCCATTCATCAATTGATGGAAACTTGAATTATTTTAGCTTTTTGTCTGTGAGGAATAATAGTGCTCTGAACATCCGTGTACCAGTTTTTGAATTTTTTAAAAATGTTTTATTTATTTCTGAGAGAGAGAGAGAGAGACAGCGTAAGCAGGGGAGGGTCAGAGAGAGAGGGAGTCACAGAATCTGAAGCAGGCTCCAGGCTCTGAGCTAGCTGTCAGCACAGAGCCTGATGTGGGGTTCGAACCCACGAACCATGAGATCATGACCTGAGCCGAAGTCAGACGCTTAACTTACTGAGCCACCCAGGTGCCCCGTGTACCAGTTTTTGTGTGGACTTCTATTTTCATTTCTTTTGGGCAGACACCTAGGAGTAGAATTACGGGGTCATATGGTGACTCTGTTTAATTAACCTTTTGACGAACGCCCAGACTGGTTTACAAAGCAACCACGTGACTTTGCCCTCCCATCAGCAGGCAACGAGCATCTGATTTGTCCCCATCTTTGCTGGGACTTCTGCTCATTCATCTTGACAATTCCAGCCATCCTGGTCCATGAGAAGGGGTGCCTCATGGTGCTCTGGATTTGCATTTCCCTGATGGCTAGCGATAGCGAATGTCTTTTTTCACTTGCTTATCTGCATCTGTAAACCTTCTTTGAAAAATGTCTACTCAGATCCTTTGCCATTTTATTTTTTGGAAAGTTTATTTATTTATTTTGAGAGCGAGTGAGCACGTGAGCAGGGGAGAGGGGCAAACAGAGAAAAGAGGAGAATCTCACCTCACCTGGGTGCGAGATTCCGGGTCCTTTGTCTCAACCATCTGCTCAGACGAATAAGCCAGACCCACCCGGGGCTGCCAGCCATGACCTCCTCATCCTTACTCTGCTTGTAATGGAGTCCCCACTGTGGCCTCCGTGTTCACGGAGGGTATGTGGCTTCTCCCCAGGGGACAGTCACATTCATCCAGCACTGACAAGCTCCATCCGTGCAAGGCCGGGACCCTCTGTGGACTGAGCGCTGGCCTTCCGGACGTCTGAGCAAGCCCAGTATGGGAGCAAGAGGAAGAAACCCAGGGCTGGGCACCGTGACGTTGTTTCCTGCCCAGGGGTCCCATGGCCGATCACGTATATTGAAGGGGGTTCCGAGGAGCAGGGGTGGGATGGAGAACGGGCCCTCAGCCCTCGTTACTGAGGGCCTGGCTTACTCCACAAGACCCAGCGCCCACGTCCAGGCTGGCCTCGGCCCTCGGCTAGTGTCCCAGCCTCGGCCTTCACATCTCTGGAAAGTCTTGTGGATGCCAGGTGTTATGGGTTGAAATGTGTCGCCCACTAGAATTGCTCAAGTCCGAACTCCCAGTACCCGTGCATGTGACCTTATTTGAAAATAAACTTTTTTTTTTTTGCAAATGATCCAACTAAGCTCAGGCCATTAGGATGGGGCCTCATCCAGTAGGACAGGTTCTGACACAGAGAAGCTCGCGGGGAGGACGTGAAGACCCAGGACCCCTCGGGGACAGGCTGGCAGCCAGAAGAGGGACCTGGACCAGACTTGCCCTCACACTGCTCAGAAGGAATCAGCCCTGCGACCCTTTCATTTCAGAACTGACCTCCTGAACAGTGATTTCAGATTGTCCAAGTCCTGCTTGTTACCCAAGGAGAGAAAAGGAAAATGAAACACAATTTGCAGAGAGCTAGCCCTGGGCTAAGGATCCTGCTAGGCTATTTACGTACGGGAATACTTACTCTCAACATCTTCTTAAAAATATGTTATCTCTACTTGCAGATGGGGAGTTGAGGGTCTTGCCCAAGGTCACAGAGGTGCATAACTCTATGAACCCACAGAGATGAATAATTTTTGTCTTAATGACATCAATAGAATCGTTAGAGAGAAATCATGCTGGATCCAACAGGAGCTGATTTTTATTCCACCTTTTTCCTGATTGTTTTTTGTTCTTCCTCTGAAGCAGGTGGTATAAACCTAGGAAGCATTCCTAGGATCGCCTGGATTTGTTTGAAAAGCTTTCTTTATTCCCTGTGTTTCTCTATACATTCACACAAGAAAGCATGTATTGGTCCCTTTTGGGTGCCCTTTCACCTGGTCCCCCACACCCTGCCTGCCCCTGACAGCTTCCCTCCCCCCCTTCAAACATTGTCCACAGGAATGGTCGCTTTCCAGGCCAAGAATGCTTGTTCCTCTCTCTTTTTTCTCTTTCAATGATCTCGTTCTATATTGTTTAGCACTGTTGCCTGGTTTAGGTACTCACTCAATAAACATGCGTGGATTAAATAGATGAGTGAGTGAGTGAGTGAATGAATGTTCAAGGTTAGATCATGAAGCCAACTGAAACCCACTTAGAAAGAATTCCTTGCCCTCTATGTTCCCTGGGCACCTGGCGCATATGAACATTAGAGGACACATTGCACTGTCACTAGATCTGTCTCTACCTGAGACCGTCCCTTCCTGATAATCCTAACGCTCTGTGGAGGACCCGCCACAGAGCTACTCTCACAACGCAGTATAGATATTCCCAAATGACTCATAGTCTGAAAAAATACACTAAAATTCAGCAGGGTTTATGGAAGAGTAGGCTTGAGCAGACAACTCAAAACTCTCTAACTGGCGTGCGAAAGGAGGGAGTCTCTGCTCTCCCCTCAGATAATCCGGGCAGATCTTTAGGTGACTCAGAACCTCGCACTGCTGTTCACTTGGGTTGATTGATGAATGATCCTTGGATACTAGATAGATTTCTTTTTTTTTTTTTTTTGACAGTTTTTTTTTTAATGTTTTTTTTTTTTATTCATTTCTAGGAGAGAGAGAGAGAGACAGTGTGAACAGGGGAGGGTCAGAGAGAGAGGGAGTCACAGACTGAAACAGGCTCCAGGCTCCGAGCTGGCAGTCAGCACAGAGCCCGATGCGGGGCTCGAACCCACGAACCGTGAGATCATGACCTAAGCGAAAGTCGGACGCTTAACCGACTAAGCCACCCAGGTGCCCCTAGATAGATTTCTAAGTAAGACAGAGCACCGAGGCTTCTAGTAAGTGTAACTCATACGCTTTTGCTTTTTATTTTTATATGTCCTAGACAGCCTGTA